ACCAAGCAGCTTATTGCACCAGCAAAAAAACAGGATTCGCGTCTTCCTCTCCTATTTAAAATATTCTTCCCTCTCCCATTTTCCGCTTCTCCTCTACTTGAACTTGCGTCTTCGAACACCTTTGTTCTTATCGGTGAAACCTGCTTATCTTGGGACTAATTAGCTTACGCAGCGATAACTAATTTCTTATCACAACGAGTGGATTTAAATGAGATACCTTTAACAACTCATTTCACGCAATTAATTCGAGATGAACTTTTAAACACCCACTTTTAATTTACAAACACAATTCAAAATAAAGGTAACTACACATCATTAAATAAATAAATTTAAAGAAAATCAACAATGACTTCAAATTTAAATGATATGGTCGAGATTGTGTTCAATCCCAAACTGGCAATCATATTTAATGTTACGAACAATTGAATATAGACACATACTGTGTTAACACACCACCCACTATAAAGTAAAGGCAATAAAATAAATAAATAAAAAAATAAAACATACAGGGTGACCCATCATTATTATAGATTCTGATACCAAATAAAACGTCCCCATGCTTTTTATAATAAATTTGTACAGTTAAATAAAGCTGTTGTTCGATTACAGAAAAAGATTTGTCGAGGGGAAAAAGCAAGCAGTTGTAGTACAGTAAGGCCTTTCGTTAAGCTGCTCTTCTTATTAAAAGTTAAAAGTTTCTACCGTCCGAAATTATCAATGAATCGCTCCATTTGAATTATAAGGTAGTTATTAATAAAACAATATTGCGTGTCGCCGTGATCTTATAATTATAATTTTTGCTGATGGGTTAGCGATTTCGGAAATTCCGCAATTGTTTTATTAACAGCCACCGAAAATTTTCCATCTAATTCATCAAGCCAGGTTTGTCATCTAATTCTGTGTAGTAAAGCAAAGGGAGGTTGAGAAGCTATCACTGCTTGTGTGGTAGTTAACTGCGCCTAGTATCGCAAAATGTTTCTATCAATCAAACATTAATTTTAAGCCCTGTAGAATCCAAAACTCCAGAATTTTTAGGATTGAACGACCAGTTCAAAAGTTATGAACAAAATAGGAAAAGGAGGATAACTTTTGCTGTAGTAGTCCAATATGATGATCATTTTGGATTGTACACGCCAAAATCTATAAGAAAAAGTCTTTTTCTGCCCTATTTGCTTGCAGATTCTGTCGAAAAAATGATTTCGGTGTACCGATTTCTATCGTAAACTTGCCCTGTGCCAAATTAATTTAGTTTTGCAATCGCTCAAACTAAAAATAGAAAAGATATATTCGCACCAAATAAAATACTCCAAGCGTGCATTAAGTGATTCAAACCGCACCGAAGCTGCTGCACTTCGAAAGTAATTGATCCATTATCAACAAAGACGCACCTTGCCACTAGGAACGCTGGAGTCGTATAGATCCAGTAAGGAAATATCTTCTTTTAAGACAAATCTAATTACATATTCCGAACCATTGTCCATTCTTGTCAGCTTCATATACCACCAATACGAACTACGAACAAACGGCAACCCAAAAATAAAGGCTAAGTTTTAAGATTATAGTTACAAGTTGGCCGGCATTGAAATAAAACCTTGGACCATGGTAATGGCAAGAGAAAGAACTTTTCCAATGAATTTGGAAATGATGTTAAAATTGCCTTGTGCATAGAAACTTATTGTGTGCCAGAATTTTCAAATTTTCACCAAAAGTGCACCTCTAAGCCCAGTTACAAGTACTCAAAGTGTTTGCATTAATTGTACTCAAAAGCGAGTACCTACATTTTAATTAAAGTGCCAAAACCGTCAACGTCGCGTTACGCTGCACAACTTCAATTATCGAAACCAATTATTTTACAAACTTACATACTAAACAAAAAGAAAGCGAGTTTTCTATTCGCCGTCGAGACTCAAGCCGCTTTAAAAGCATTGAAGCTTTTGTCCACCCCAATGGCCGTTCGATCTATAGCGCTGGCCGAGAGGATCAAGACGGGACTTTGTTAGATTCGCTACCGGGTATAAAAACAAAAAAAATGCGTCTGTGTATAAAGACACGGAACGTCAGCAGGTTGAATAGCATAATGCTCCCTTTGAGTGTATTGGAAAAAGGGGAGATACGGTAAAGTAGATTTCGTTAAAGACCATCATGCTCGAATTTGCGCTTTTCTTGCACGTAGTAGGTACACATTTCAAGTGGAATGGGTCTCACGAACACTGTTGCGAAAATCAACACAAATTTGAAGAATTATTTCATTTGATTTGAACTTCCCATTGATTACCTACTATTTGTGCAGAAGGCGCGTTCTCTTTTGATATGTCTCAATGAAGGAACACAGAATAAAATAATATAATAACGTAATAGTATAATTCATAGAGATATTTTAATAGTCAATAATCTCGAATGAGCAATACTGAAATTGTTGTCAATGTATAAGGTAATTTGTTGTAATCGATTGATAAAAAAGCACGACAAATATAAGTCATATACAAATCATGATAGTAAATACAGGTTAAAAGCAACTGGCAAAAAAACTGGTTGCGGGGCAAGCAGGTAACAAAACAGTTCGCAGAATCTCGCCCCCGCGATAGGTAACCTGCCCTTCGTTCAGGGAATTCAAACCTACAGTTGAGAGTCGAGGTCGTTTCTGGCATTAGGTGTTGTAACTAATTGGTTACAGTTATTTGTCATTCCCATGACTGTTAAAGTAAGAATGTTAATTGTCATTTTGAACTATAAGGTTAAGAAGTAGGAGTTGTTGATAGAATGAATTGACAAAGTACATAATATTCTGTCAGTCAATTTTGAAGAATTGTATTCTTTTTATCCAAACAATAAATACATTTTTTGGCCAAAATGTTCGTTTAAAAATAAGGTAGTATACACATCAAACAATTCGATATCTTCCACAAATTTAAATGAATGACCAAAAATATAAATTTAAGTTGGGTCCAAGAGTATGTAATCGAAATATAAACATAAATTAGGCATTACACCAAAAACGTAAACGATTTCACACAAAATGTTAACGGAATTTTTCATTCAGGCTAAATTATGACAAAACAAAAATTTGAAGGTTAAAAAATATAAAATGTTGCATACAAAACACAAACAAATTATGAACAAATTTTGGTAGGGTAGGTATATAAACCAATGGAATTCACGTTAGTTACGTAGTATCGCACTGATACAGGGTGTTTCGAAATTCGCGTACACGGACTGTGGGATGGTGTTATACAACGAAAACTGAATAAAAAGTTCCTCTACCAGTTTTTGATCAGACCGGAACTTGCTGAAGCTTGTTTACTAGCAGACGGCGGACATTTTGAACAACTGTTGTAATTAAATACTCGTCATAATTATAGTTTATTTTTAACCTTCTTTTGTTTTTAAAAATGTGTTATTATTAAGTTTAACCAGTGACGCAGCGTAGGGGGGCGGAGATTTTTAAAACCGCGGTAGCTCGAAAAATAGCGGTCTGATGGAAAACTGGTAAAGGAACTTTTTGTTCAGTTTTTGTCGTATAACACCATCCCATAGTCCGTGTGCGCGAATGTCGAAACACCCTGTATAATGGGTTAGTGAAATAGGTCGGTGGACCTGACTCAAACACAATTGTCATTGTCTTCCGTAAATGCTCTTCATAGGGGGCCTTTTGAATCGATCGGAGGGATCCTTTTAAGGGCGTAAGCTGGGGGATTCCAACCAGCCTTATTTGGACCATTACGTTAAAAGAAAACCAGACTTAATGATACGCCCCTGTATCAGGGTAACTGAAAATGGAGACAAGCGTCCTTGAGAACAGGGCCGTATCTGGAAAAAATTGGGGGGGGGGGGGGTTAAACCATGGAATTTGATTTTGATAATAAATTAGGGATTTAAAAAAAACTGTCATTTTTTAATAGGTGTATGTGTATTATATGAAAATATAAAGAAAAAACAAACAATTTAAAATTTTACAAATAGTAATCATAGTAGCAATTGAATATTTCTTTGCTTTTCCCTCGCAAAACGATTTACCACCTCCTCGGTATCAATTTTAATATTTCTGTGAATGCTTAACAGAGCAAGTCCTGTTAATCGCTCTTGACCAGTAGAATTGCGCAAATAGTCTTTCAAACGTCTTAGCGAGGAAAAGGATCGTTCTGAGGAGGCAGTACATACGGGTAAAGTGGCTTCTTGACTGACTACTATTGTGTTGTCTGTTGTGATTAGTAAAGGAATTTTTTTATCTTGAATGCAGAAAAGAATGAAAAGATGATTTTGCAGTTTAGAATTTTCTTTTTTGAGTAGTAAAGCGATTCAAATACTATTTTAATTTTTTATATTTTACTTACGTTATAAGAATTTATTTTCGGGGGGGGGGGGGGTTGAACCCCCAAAACCCCCCTTTAGATACGGCCCTGATTGCTGATAGTCCGCTTTTGTTCTTTAAATGCTAATAGTTTCGTAGTTATATTACAGAACTGCAAAAGAAAAGGTTTTGTACATTTTCGCCTGTACATCAGTGGGGCAAATTTTCCTACATATTGTACAATTTTTGGAAATAACACGACCGATAACTGAAAATATAAATATCAGATAACTTAAGCCATGTTGCAGGGTGGTGAACCGCCACCGGAAACTTGCGGTGGGATTGGATAGCGTTCGCAATAATTTGTTACCTTCACATCTCATGCGTAGTTTGTGTGGCCTATCCAAGTGAAATAAATAATGGTTATTACCCTCTACACGATATGAACTATTTTAAATATTACAACAAATATTTTATAACTGCTTTGACCTCCCAAGTGAGGTGGGTCTATGATGTAACAGTGAAGATTCTTTTCGTTAATTTCTAATTGTCTGCCTTGGAAGCACACAATATTTCATCGCGAGACGACCGCATGCATGACACATAATTATAATTCCATAAAAATAAAAAATAAAACGTTATCGTCCCCTCTTTCGGCGCCGCCAACGAATACGTCCGAGATGTAGGAATTCCTATCCTATCGTCAGAGATAGTGAACGTGTAGGCCGTTAAATGAACGCAACGCGTTTCGCGTATGTGCCGCTCTTCCACTTGATATGTACATTATTTGCTTCAATTCTGCGGTCAGGTGGTAGCTTACGCATTTAAAATAGCGCGATAGAGCAACGAAAATTAAAAAAAAGACACGAAATCGTATAAATGTGATTATGAATAAGTTATTGTGTAAATCGTTTTACCACTATGTGCGAAAAAGTGCAGGTAAAAAATATGATTTACCAGCACCTACGTATTGATTATTGAAATCTTTTAATTTTGTGGGCGTTCCAAAATTTCAGCACCCTTTTTGTTCTCATTTAGAATTGCACGATTTTATTGCGATCAAAAACCAGTTTCATGAATTGTAATTTACCTTTGAAATACAATATGAATTCATTTTGCTTATAATCGTCCCCTGGAAACGCGAGCCCAGTTTAGGGCGGCAAAATGCCATTTCGCATAGGCAAGATTTTAGCAATATTGATTACTGGAAGCTGCGTACTGTGCGTCTTGCTGACGCTCGTGTTTGTGAGTACAAATTTAAAGTTATCTTCTGCTGGTGGTATAAGAGGTAACGGTGGTAAGGGGTGCCGTTTGGTAAGGGCAGTTTTCGCTTAATGCAGATAACATGTAGATATCAAAATGGTAACGTTCCTGTATAACATGTGTACGCATAATAATCTTATGTCATCTTACCTGTAAATAAAGATCCTTGAACTATAATATTGTATTCATTAGGTACGCATGAATCAACTCTTCAGTGTAAAGATACCTTGGTATGCAAGCCGCGTGTCTTGAATGTTAAGAATAAACAAATTAACAACGAAAGAAAATGAAATAATTTTTCAAATATTTCAACCAAAAAAATGACTTGTTAAGATCCGTGTAAAAATTGTACAACGTTTTCTAAATAACCATTGAATGAAAGATCATCAGTTACAAAACTAACAACTTTATCCTCATTTAAAACCCGAGTTAAACTCATTATTAAATAATTCTCTATTGCCTACTTATTAAAAATAAAATAATTGACGATTGTTTTAGGGGTAGCAATGAAGTAGGTAGGTCAAAAGAAAATCTGGGCGGTAGAAGGGACCAACGTAAAAATTTGTTATAAATAAACAGTCCAAAATGTTATGTTTGGGTGTTACCAATGAGGAAAATCATATTATAAAAATAAAATTAATTCACTATGCAGAATAGTGCAGGCGTTGGATGGACTTGAGTATGCAAAATCTGAGGACCGCATTCTGCTAATTGATTCAAGTTCAAAAAAAGCTTGTAAATTTAGGCTGGTTCACTTTTGTAAAAAACATCGGTTTAAAAAGTTCTAGGGGCATTTCAGACAACATTTGGCCAAATGGGCGTTTTTTACTAATAGTATACTCAAATACTAGTACCGTGCATCAGATATGTCATATCCGAGGTCATATCTATCCAAGGTTTCGACATTGAAAGACCTGTACGAGCGACGCACGCAGAGACGAAATTACGCCATTTATTTTTTCGATTTTTGTTAGATTTCGTCCTGAAGGAGAGGTTTTTAATTAATTGTGGTGGTATACTTTTTTAAACTAGACAAAATTTGCGACAATTCAACCCCTTAACGGACTGTAAGTCTAATAGATTTTGAGATACGTACAGCCTTTCAAAGATTCGTAAATTCTTCAGTTTTACAAGTTTGATCAAATTTGTGTTTTTTGCGCATAAAAACCTCATAAAAATTGTTATAATTTTGATCGTTTAAAGGGCCATAGAAGTCCATGAATTCGGACAGAAGGAGGTCGAAAGTTAACATCCTCTGGTTCCTCAGTTTCTGCCTCGGTTTCTGCCATGATAAGAAAGTTGTCATCTTCTTCGTCATCAAGATTCATCACCTGTTGGACTAATATGGGATTATTGAAAAACTTTTATTATTAATGAATAATGATTCTCGAGATCATTTATAATTTTGCACTGCTGTCTGTCTGTCTATTCCTCTGTCTGTCCGTGTGCACGATAACTTTGTTTAGAAACGTTCAATCGCTTTGAAAATTGGTTCTCATGAGTAAGTCGATTGACTGCATGATATCTAATTTTGGTGATTATTTTAGTGACAATTATTAGTTTTTTTAAAATAATTAGACATAATTAAAGGTTGGCAAATGAAATTAAAAGAGAAATTATATATTAACAAAAAATTCTTACATTGCTACTTAATAACAACATTATGTAGTGAAACAATATATTTATAATTTGGATTGGCGTTTATAATTTTTCACGGCCTACTAATTACTGAGAGGCTGTGAAAATCGATAAACATTGTGAATTATTAGAGATTATCGAGGAGATTATTGAATTACAACAACATAAATACCGACATGTTTATATCGCTAGAAAGGTAGGTAATGAAATCCTGCATTTAATGCAATAAACAAACTTCCATTAAAAAAAATCAAGTCAAGCAATTGCAATTTCGTTCAAAATGTGTTTAGTTTGTGATCTGCGTGGATGAGGCTGTAAATGCCAATAGACACATCACAGAAGACGAGATTGCCACCATAATTAACGGGTCGCTGTGTGATTTCCACGTTTTTGGAGCACTTGAAAGGTAGCCGTTTCATGTCGCACGCAGAGGGGCAGGACGAGGTCTATGATTGGATCGCCTCACGTCCGAGTGAATTCTGGGAGCGATGCAGGTCCGGGAAGTTAGCACCGTCATTGGAAGCACTAACGACCGGACCGGTCTCGATCGTTAGTGCTTCGTTAGTGCCTCTTCATACCTTGCATCAGCGCACAAAGCCGTTTCCAAAATATAGGCACCTTCTCATGCAGCGCTGACTACCCACACTTTTTGAAAGCACTAACGACCGGACCGGTCTCGATCGTTAGTGCCTCTTAGTGCTTCATATCTTGCATCAGCGCACAAAGCCGTTTCCAAAATATAGGCACCTTCTCATGCAGTGCTGACTACCCACACTTTTTGAAAGCACTAACGACCGGACCGGTCTCGATCGTTAGTGCTTCGTTAGTGCCTCTTAGTGCAGTAAATGCATTTGCCATGGAATGATTACACATACCTTATCCGTGTCTAAATTTGTATTTATTGACGCAAACGAATGTGGAAACACTGTGCTAGATGATATACCATTCGCCATTACCGTATTTGGGAAAAGATTGATATTGCGATCTGTTGTGGCATTCATTGCCCCAAACGATCCGTCAACATGCAACATAGGTCATTATGTTTGTTTCTGTAGAAGAATAGATGCAGTTTGGGAACGGTATGATGACTTGCAAAAAGACATACTTGTTGCAAGGAAGAATACCACACTTACTCCGCATTCATTGCTATATGCAATTTAATATGGAATAGAATAAGTTTTTTCAAAAGTTGCCTAAAATATTAAATGTCCTAATGTTAAATCTTAAATACGAAGTTATGCATATATCGACCTAAAACCGAGCCTAAAACCGAAAAAAAATATTTTGTTCTTGATTATGGTGAAAGAATATAATTTTTATTATCTATATTTGTTCAAATAAAACCCCCATTCTAATATTAATTAGTCGTAAATTATAGACCTATAGTTGTCCCTACCATTCATCCAGGAACTTAGTGCTCGTATTCTTGCTGTTCCATAGGAATTTGCATCACTGCTGCCAAAACGAACAGTGTGTGAAAATCAAAGATTATTATTCGTCGTTTATTGAACATACTTTCTTCAGTAGATATCCGCCGGACTAGGGCCATGTTTCTGTCTATGTACACCACTTCTGATTAGTTAATTTCGCGAGTAATTTCGCGAATGGTGTATCCAAATGTGCTGAAGTTTCTCTTTGGATAGAAGAAATCTGTACTTAATAAATTATAATAATATTTATTTTCAAAAACCATGGTAAAGAAATTTTATCATTAACCCCAGCAAAAATGTTAGCACTATAGGTCCAAACAGCTGAGTGAGGGTCATCAGCACTGCATCAGATGGTGCCTATATTTTGGAACGGCTTTATACGATTATGCAAGATATGGAGCACTAAGAAACACTAACGAAGCACAAAACGATCGACACCGGTCCGGTCGTTAGTGCTTTCAAAAAGTGTGGGTAGTCAGCACTGCATGAGAAGGTGCCTATATTTTGGAAACGGCTTTGTGCGCTGATGCAAGATATGAAGCACTAAGAGGCACTAACGAAGCACTAACGATCGAGACCGGTCCGGTCGTTAGTGCTTTCAAAAAGTGTGGGTAGTCAGCACTGCATGAGAAGGTGCCTATATTTTGGAAACGGCTTTGTGCGCTGATGCAAGATATGAAGCACTAAGAGGCACTAACGAAGCACTAACGATCGAGACCGGTCCGGTCGTTAGTGCTTTCAAAAAGTGTGGGTAGTCAGCACTGCATGAGAAGGTGCCTATATTTTGGAAACGGCTTTGTGTGCTGATGCAAGATATGAAGCACTAAGAGGCACTAACGAAGCACTAACGATCGAGACCGGTCCGGTCGTTAGTGCTTTCAAAAAGTGTGGGTAGTCAGCGCTGCATGAGAAGGTGCCTATATTTTGGAAACGGCTTTGTGCGCTGATGCAAGATATGAAGCACTAAGAGGCACTAACGAAGCGCTAACGATCGACACCGGTCCGGTCGTTAGTGCTTCCAATGACGGTGCTAACTTCCCGGACCTGAGCGATGCGGGACAATGGAATTCAACCACATTTATATCAAACGGTTATGTTAATCGAAACTCGGAACTCTATTCCATACATAATCCTATCGTATATGTACAGGGTGCGCCATTAGTGTGTGTGTGGAAGATTGTGGCGAAAATACGTGCTTATTTATTTATTTTCCCTCTCTAGTTCTGGGCCCTCAACAGGCTTACGTCCAATTAGTCATTACTTTTTAGAGGTGCCTCTGCAGACGGTCGTAAGTTGTTCTATACGACTCCGGTATTTATCTTACGAAGTAGGAAAACTGTAGGAAAACCTAATTCGGAGTAGCCGGTAGAATGACCGAAACTGATATAAGGAAATTCCCGAGGAAATTCCCAACTCTGGCACATATACAAAAATTCTTACCTCAGCCCAGGTTCGAACACATTCCGGCAATGTAGCTCGAAAGTAACTAAATTTCACTTTACGCAACGCGATAAGAATAGTTATCTGTGCAACCAGTTGGGAAAAGCACAATTTTTCGTAACGAGCGAATTTCTGCGGAAACGAGCGAAGGGAGTTCCGCAAAATAATAATAATAATATATATTTGTCCAACAGAAAATAAATCAAATTATAGGACAAAATAAGATTAAGTTTAACAAAGCAGCATACTATACAAAAATGAGAAAATATAAACAAGAATTGATATAAAAAAATACACACTATAAAATTAAGTAAAGGTAATCACATATGTAGCTCAGTGTATATGTATAATATACCATTTTGCATAAAAATGCCCCAAACGGATTTGTATCTTTTACTGTTTCCGAGTCCCCATAATGAAAAAAAACTCACCCTGTAATTTTTTTAATAAATACGTTTGTAGTAACAGCACTTT